CCCCCCCCCCCCCCCCCCCGCTCCCCCCCCCGATGTTTGCCATCGGGGTTGGGTTTTCGTCGCTTGGCAACGACGTTGTAAAACATGCCGCCCCCCCCGGTGTTTGTCATCGGGGTTGGGTTTTCGTCGCTTGGCAACGACGTTGTAGAACAAGCCCCCCCCTCGGTGTTTGCCATCGGGGTTGGGTTTTCGTCGCTTGGCAACGACGTTGTAAAACAAGCCAATTCACTTCGTGAACTCGGCAAACAGGTTACCGTTTTTTTTTTTTACCTCGTTTTTTTTTTGGCGGTAACCATATTGGTGGTCGAGTAGATCATGTTGTGCGGGGTCGAGAAACCTCACTCTGCGCAACAGGGGATGATCGTACCACGTTGTGTTAAAATGGTCAAGCATCCTCGAGGCAGTTACACAGTGCTTACAACTGTCTCTGGAAGTGAAAGCACCAGAAAATAAATTAAGTCATACGTAGCTGTCATCCGTACGCAAGGAAGTAAGCACAAGATGCCGAACACCCTTAGCAGGATGCTGCTCACCCTTCATGCGACTCGCCAAATACCTCACGGCGCTTCGCGCTTGGTGATGTGAGAGCCTGGTCCGGTGAGAACCCGGCGTGCTCCGTCCCGGCTTTGTAGGGATGCGAGGTCAATGGTCAAACGACTACGGCATGCACGACTATGAGTACACCCCCCCCCCCCCCCCCCTCGCCCGTGCCCCCGTCATGGGTGGTCTCTTTTCTGGACCATAGGTGGCCCCGGATGGTGAGGTAGGGTTAGCGAGACTTCAAGCCCAACCGTCGTCTTTCGACCTGATCCTCCTGGATGTGGTCATGCCAGGACTCGACGGTGTGGAGGTACGGCATTTGGCGTCCCCAAGACTAAAACTATTTGGTGTGTTTTTTATTTAATTATTAATTATTTTTTGGGTTTTTGGTAGGTGTGTTTTTTATTTAGTTGTTACTTTTTTTTGGGGGTTTTGGTAGACAAGAAGTACAGCAGTCGAACCTCGGTTAAGGACAAAGTCACACCTGGTTCTTTGCTAAGAAAAGAGTGCGTAAGCCGGGAAGTGTCCTTAAGGTTGATACCCCCTCCGTATGCTGTACATTCTGCGAGCCACCATGCCTGTGAAAAAAAAACTTGTCCTTCACCGAGGGAGTTTACTTAATTTTGGCGTCATTAAGGGAGGCGCGACTGCTGTACAAAGAATGACAAGAGGAGAAACACACATCCAAAGATCTATCGCCTGCTCCGGAGTATACCACTACAATACATCCTCCGTTTGGAAGTACAGGGGCCATCAGGGTATTTCCGCTTGGGCGTCCAGGCTAGACATCATGCTCTTGCGAATCTCATTGTCCAACTCTGAAATTTGTTGTTTTGCATACCACATACTCATTTTCCTTGGTGTTGTTCAGTTGACTTGTAGACCGTGACATACGCAACTGAGCAGCCGGGACACACTGGATTCGAATGATCCTTGTATTTTCGACAATGGAAAGTGTGGTGGCACACGTTGTGCTTGTGCCTTTCCTCTTATCTTCGCTGGCTCCTCCGCGACTGCTGCGCCGTGTTCCGTGCCTTGTGCTTGTGCATATTACACGACGTGTATATGACACGACGTGTATATGACACGATGTGTATATATGACATGATGTGTATACATGACACGATGTGTGTATGACACGATGTGTACATGTCACGATGTGCATGTGGCACTCCCAACGGCGTTGCATGCCCGCTGTTAGCTGCTGTGTACAAGTACTGATCGCCGTGCTTAGCATTCCGCCGCGGTTTGTTGATTCCGCTTCCCGCAGGTGCTGACTCGCGTCAAGCAAGACCCCCAACTGAGCCATATTCCGGTGGCGATGTTGTCCGGCCTGGAGAGCGAAAGGCTGGGTGAGAAATAATCACAGCAGTTTTAGTACCATCTAGCGAACAAGGTGAAGAAAAACGTGGTTACATTTGCGATCGGTGTTGCGTTTGGACGTTATTCCTCTTGCGAACAAGGCGAAAAAATCGTGGGTAATTGTGCGATCGGTTTCTTTTTCGACTTGGGGGCGTTGGTGGTGCACATGTTTATCTGTATCTGGCGGTGTTTTAAGTGGACCAATGTTAAAAAAAAAAAATGTTACCGGTCGCAACGCGTGTGGTCGTGCGGACGGCGGACAACTGCGCGGGCTGCGGAGGCATGGCTGGGTCAGAGACGTGAACGTTTCTTCGGCGTGGGAAGAAGACGAAAAGAAATCTCAACGACGCTTGTGCCTGGTCGAATCGTCGGAAACGACACCGAAAACAACAGCAGTGGTTCTGCGCGTGCACGGCACAGTTTGGCACATGAAGCGGGGCGATTCCCTCAGCTATGGACTGTTAAAATTGTTGACACGTCCGCGCTATTATAGCTCCTGTGATTATTGGGTCTAAGGCTCTCGCGGGGGTTTTGTATGTCAAAGTCCTGACGAACCACTAAACCGTACTTCGTTTCCCCCATGGGACCGCGGCTTCCTTTTCGTCTGACTGCTGTCTTCACGCCTCTTGTCGTTCCCCCAGAGGAACTGTGCCTACAGCAGGGAGCGGTGGTGGTGCTTCGCAAGCCCCTCACCGCGGAGATGGTGATCCAGGTGGTGGACGCGTGCTGTGAACAGCGGGAGGGAGCGGCGGCGGGGGCGGGGGCGGGGGCGGGGGCGGGGGCGGGGGAAACTCCGCCGCCCTCGGGGGGGGGAAGCCACAGCCCGCTGAGAGACTTGCCGCCGGTAAGCCGAGAGTCGCTGGCTGTTGAGAGACAGAGACAGAGAACACTGGATGCTGAAAGGAACACGGAGGCCGGCAGAGAGAGACAGACACACACACAGAGCGAGCGAGAGAGAGGGAGAGAGAGAGAGAGAGAGAGAGAGAGAGAGAGAGAGAGAGAGAGAGAGAGAGAGAGAGAGAGAGAGAGAGAGAGAGAGAGAGAGAGAGAGAGAGAGAGACAGAGAGAGAGAGAGACAGAGAGAGAGAGAGAGAGAGAGAGAGAGAGAGAGAGAGAGAGAGAGAGAGAGAGAGAGAGAGAGAGAGAGAGAGAGAGAGAGAGAGTGAGAGCATGACTGTACGCTGTACGGCGTTTCGAACCGACTTTGCAAGGTGTTTCGATAAGGCGTTTCGAAGCGGCCGTTTCTTCGTGGTGGGTTTTTAATCTCGCCGCCGGACACGAGGTCCCCTCCGTCCCCTTTTCTTATCCCCCCCCCTCGCTCATGTTGAAGATCATCTTTTTCTTTCGCAGGGGGTCGACGCGTCGGCCAGCTTTGAGCATGCAGAGGCGTTTCCTTCGACCGGGGCGGGATTTGCGCCAGGGGTTCCACCGCCACCAGAAGAACCATATCCTGCAGAGACAAAAGTTGCTCTCGGGAGTGCTCGCACCGAGGGGGGTGGGGGCGGGGACCGGGGGTTGTCCGAGAGCCCTTCCCGAAGAGAATCTGCATCGTCGACGCTTCCCACGGTGAGAAGGCGATTCTTCTTTTTTTCGATTTTGGATGGATATCTGCTGGATATGCCACAACTAGTTTTACGTCAGGTCACACCCCCTGGGCCGGCTTTGAAAGCTTGACTACTCTTTTTACGACTAAGAGGGTGTCGCATCTATGGTGCTTTGTCGGACAGTCCGCGATGAGCCAGTTTATAACGCCGCCATTTTCAGCCCCCCACGACGCTTTCTGGTGCGAAGCAACCGAGCTATGAAAACCGGTCAAGGGTGTGTGATATCTTACGCCACCTGCGGTAAATCCCCGGCACTAAACGCGGGAAGGATAGGGGTGATATTATATCAGTTTCATCTGCACACGGGGTTTTGTCACCCGCACGTGGGAGCTTGTTCTTTAGAAAGTATACATGACCTCACAGAAATACTACCCGTTCGAGAAAATGCCATGCGGTAGTCGAAGGGGATGTGTTGAAGTCTTTTGTTGTTGTGTGTTGGCCGTTTCCCATACATTAGTGGGAGCAGGTGGTGGATGTGGTTTCTCGGACTCATGAAACGGGCTACATTGAGCATGGACATTGGGATGCGGGGTTCCCGAGGGGGCCCGTGATATCATAGAACCCGGAAGAATAGCATCCTTTGTGCCTCAAGCCCGGGAATACGTGCGTAGCCCCCAGGCCATCTCTGGAGTAGCATCGAGCGCCGGGTGTCTCAATCAGGTCTCGTTGCAGGGGTGGATTTGGCAAGACGGACGAAAATTGAAAAATAAGAGAGAGAAAATTGTGCCAGAGTGCCCGCGGTCCGGCCGCTGCGAGCGGAGGTTAGACGATTCGTCATTCTCGGTGCGATGGGATTGCTGTTGCTGTGTATTGCGGTCGTGCTGTTGTACATACGCTCGTGTCCTTGAAGAACCGTTCGTTTTTCCACATGTGTTGTACTCTTGGCCGACGCAAGCGAAGGAAAAACTTTGCTTGGCTCTTGCTTAAAACCGTTTTCCTTGCCCCCGTTGGGACAACCCAGGCGAACATGGCCGTGTTGGTCGTGGAAGACTCTGTGATTTCAAGCAAGCTGGCCATCCGGAAGCTACGGGCGTTAGGGTGAGGGCTACCTGCAGGCGTTTTCGGTGCGGGGAGTAGGAAGGGTCAGGGTGCTCTCGCATGTTGTGTGTGTCGCTTTGACTGCCATGGGCTGCGCTTGTAGCCGGATGCCCGAGGAAAGGACGTCACTCTGAGCGGATGCTGTTGAAAATGGAAGCCATGTCTGGGTGCGTGCGTGTGTGGTTTTCTGCTGCCGCGTCTTGTGTGTTGAGTCTACCATAGAGCACCCGTGGGGCTTGTATCGCGTGACAAGAAGTACGTCTGTCCGGATAGGCGACGTCGGCGCGAGGTACCGCACGTGTTGATCAACCAACTCTCTACGGTTACTGGTTCATGGCCAGACACAATCTGGGTGCAAGAAAATCTCGAGCATCTGTGTGGCTTTGGTATGAAGTGTGTTGCCGCCCATTCCCTTTCTTAGTCTGGACGCCGATCCTCTCTCGACATTTACCGTAAGAGGCGGAGAGATGGCACCCCCCTAGACCGATCTTCAACGCTCGATTGCTCCATCACCAAGATTTTCTGTACCGTACCGTAAACCTTACCGTGGTATTCCGTAAGAGTCGGAGAGATGGCACCCCCCTAGACCGATTTTCAAAGCTCGATTGCTCCACGACCAAGATTGTCGTACCGTACCGTATACCGTACCGTGGTATTCCGTAAGAGGCGGAGAGATGGCACCCCCCCCTAGACCGATCTTCAACGCTCGATTGCTCCACAACCAAGGGGGTGCGGAAAGAGCCCGATGCGTCGACCGAGAGACCGCGACGAGATATTTCCAGAACCACCCATTTGGGTGTTGGCAAAAGTTTGGTTGGGGAGCAATCGAACGTTGAAGATCGGTCTAGGGGGGGTGCCATCTCTCCGCCTCTCACGGAATACCACGGTACGGTACACGGTACGGTACAGACAATCTTGGTCGTGGAGCAATCGAGCGTTGAAGATCGGTCTAGGGGGGGTGCCATCTCTCCGACTCTTACGGTACTTGCGAGTGGGTTGTCTAGCTGCACGACGTGGAGAGAGAATCCCGGCGAGACCGGGTTGTTTTTTGTTTGCTTGCGCCGCCCGCCCCGCGACAGTAGAAACGAAGGATTTTTTTTTTTTTATCGAAGGACTTTATTTTTTTTTTTGTCTGCGTCTTTTCATGGCACCAGGTGCTCGACGATAAGCGTGGAGAACGGCCGTGCGGCCCTGGACTTGATGCGGGGCGACCCGGACCGAATAAGCCTCGTTCTCGCCGACGTCATCATGCCCGTCATGGACGGCATCGAACTCTTGCGCATCGTAAAGGTGGGTGGCGTGTGTTGGCCGCCCGTTGCGACCAACGTACGATGGTACGTACCTATAGCCAATACAGCAATGCGGGTCCCGTAGTAGTGCCGGCATGCGCCCGCCAGATTCACCGGTGGCACTACCGTATACCATAGTGTGACACAAGATATCACACCCCCTTGGACGGATTTTCAGAGCTCGATTACTCCACGACGAAGAGGATGCATGAACGAAACGATACATTTTCGGAGAGCTCTCGACCAGACGGCTTCAACGCCGCCGTTTTCGGCGCTGTGAGTCTTTCTGCTGTTGAGAAATCGAGATTTGAAAATCGGTCCAGGGGGTGTGTTATCTAGTCTCATTTACGGTAGACCGGGCACCCGGCATTATTCAGAAATTTCACCGGCAGTATGCCGGGCAGTGGCGCTATTGAACCGGTTCTATTGAGGGACCCCCGCTGTATGCATATATATGCATACATCGTTGTCTTGTTGGTGTGAGCATCATTCCAAGAAGACTGTCCCTTGTCGAGACTTTTTTGTTGGGAGCGTAAGTGTTGAGGTACGTACTTGTGACGAGGGTACAGTAGGGTGACACGTCCTTTTTGTTCGTTTTTTTTTATTTATTTCCGTAATATCTCACAACGAATCCATCTCCATCTATAGAAAAGAGTTGAAGATAGATGAACAATGGATCCAAAGCGTCATTCATTTTTCGTCTACTTGTCATTGGTCATTGCTTTCCACCCACCCTCTGCCTGATCGATGCCCTTTCCGAAGTATAAAATTTCCATACCTCTTTGTTTTCGGTCGCGCTTTTTGTCCGTCTCTCTCTCTCTCTCTCTCTCTTTCTCTCTGTCTGTCTGTCTGTCTGTCTGTGTGTGTGTCTCTCTCTCTGCGTCTGCTCCTGCTCTCCCCTCCCCCAGGACGACCCGATTCTGCGCAAGATTCCAATTGTGGTGGTTTCGAGTCTAGAGAGACGGGAGCTGGGTGAGTTGTAGTTGTTGGGGGAAGGGGGGAAGCAGGAGCTGAGCACACTGTGAACACAGCTCTCGCCCTTGCCACGTTTTCTTCGAACTGTTGAGATTCTTTTTTGCACCAATTAGCTCGCGCTTTGTTTTTCCTTGAATTCCGTTGTCTTGTGCGACACGTGTACCCATGTCTTGCCACGAGAAAAAACCGACGAAACGAAGCCCAAAAACATGTTACATCTGAACCCCATCACTGGGATTCATCTTCGAGTACACCCCGGACAATATTTCTCTTCTTCCCCTCTCATGGGCGGGTCAGGTTCGAGCCTTTTACAGACGCCATTATTTATACCACACTTGTTTCACGGTGTTTTCAGAGCCCCTTCGGTCGATTGCCAAGCTCTGATTGCTCCCCTACCACGAGAAGAATGCCTGTGCCGAACAATTACGCTTTCGAAAAGCCGTCAATGTGCAAGGGGAGTCACCCTCCTCGGGAAGTGACAGTGACGGGGCTCACGAACCGCACGACTAACTTTCATAGAAGCCGAAATCAAAACCATGGTTTGATTTCGGCTTCTATAGTACGTTCCATAGTCGGCTGGTGCGTCCAACCGAAAGGTGCGAGTCCCGAAGTCGAGAAAAAGTGGGATGAAATAAAAACAAATTGTCACCTTTTGGTTCGGCACTGCTGTCACTCTCCTCTTGTGGAGTAATTCGACCTTTGAAGCTGGGTCAAGAAGCCGACATGTTACACTCCAAGACCGTAGTTATGTGCGTGCTCCCGTGCTCCCTGCGCTATCCTGCAGGACGCACCCCTAATGGTCTCAAGTTGCTTTATCGTTCGGCAGACTGGCACGAACTTGCTCAATGTCAAGTGTTGGGCGTTGTGTTTGTTTTGTGTCATCTATTTTTCTTCTCCCCTCTCGTTGCTTTGTTTGTCCACGAACATGTTGGTTTTATCTTGCCGTAAACGTGATCCTAGTCGACCTGTGCTGGTTCTGTTGCTGATGCTGGAAGCCCCTGCTATCTCTCTCTCTCTCTCTCTCTCTCTCTCTCTCTCTCTCTCCCCCTGTCTCCCTCTCTTTCTCTTTCGCTTTCTCTGTTCTCTCTTCCCAAAGAAACGTTGTGCTTGGAGTCGGGGGCGCTGGCTGTGCTGCGAAAACCCTTCAGGGCGCTCGAGATCCAAGAGATCGCGGCTCAGGCAGGCCTTGCGCTCCCGAAATCGCCTACGACAGCAGCTAACGGACCCCCTCGCTCCTACGCGAGCAGCAGCAGCAGCAACTGCAGCTGAAGCACTGGTGGCAGAGCAGCAACTCGCGCTTTTTTTTCAGAGATGGAGACCAACAACACATGAACCCGACAACATGGGCCCAGCCCCCCCCCCCGACCTGCCAGGGGGTTGCATGATAACATCATTAGTTCCATTTGTGTCTCGGAAAAAGGTCATGCTTTGGACTTGTTTTCTGCCCATCTGTTGCCCGCTAGAGGGTAACCAGACCACGCACACTTCAGCTGGCTGTAAAATTTAGATGCGCTGGCTGTACTTTAGGCGCGCGACCGCATCGTTCCTGGACCAGGGCCATTAGGGGTCGTTGGTGAGTTTAGTTTTATTCTTCCGTTATTTTAGCCAGGGTTTTTGGAGGGTACCAATTGGAAGCCACGGTTTTTATTTCTACTTTCAGGGTTGTTTTGCGGTATTTCCTGCTGTAGAAATTGATCCAAATTTTTTTTCGTTTTGTGTTTGATCCCACTGGGGGTTGTAGGCGGTGGCGGCGGCGGACGCCCCGATCCAATTCCGGGGCACGGAATTAAAGTGTGCGTTGATGCCCTTGCCCTGCCGAACACAATGCGCCACCATTTGTATCCTGGCCCTTGATTTTTGAAGGAGCGTCAGTTAACTGCTGTACATATGGGGAGGGCCGGGGGGGGGGGGGTACTCATGTTTTGCAGATGATGTATTGCATGCCTCAGTTGTTAGAGAGGGTTGACCACGCGTCCTCAAGAGGACGGATTTGGGGGGTAGAATTATTGTGATGGCAGCAACAGACCATGGGTAGCGTGTCTGTCTCAAGCCTTGTGAGGAGGAATTTGTTGTCAAACTTCCCGCCTGAAACTCGTGGACTTTGGTCAGTGGTGTTTAGTCATGGCATGGACAACCCACATGTGTCCGTGCGTACACTGCTGTCCCCTTATCAGCGAATGAGTGTGTCTGCATCTTTTTCTTTTATGTACCCGAGGTCACCACAGGGGACGGTTAAGTAGTGGACGACAAAGGGTGCTTGTGACGCGGGATAAGAGTGGCATGTTAACATTCTCCCAGCACCGCTTTGGTTGTGGTTATTGGTTTAACATGAGATTTGGGATGCGTGGGGGGAGGGGAGGGGGGTGTACTCATAGTCGTGCATGCCGTAGTCATTAGACCATTGACATCGCATCCCTACAAAGCCGGGACGGAGCACGCCGGGTTCTCACCGGACCAGGCTCTCACATCACCAAGCGCGAAGCGCCGTGAGGTATTCGGCGAGTCGCATGAAGGGTGAGCTGCATCCTGGTAAGGGTGTTCGGCATCTTGTGCTTACTTCCTTGCGTACGGATGACAGCTGCGTATGACTTGATTTATTTTCTGGTGCTTTCACTTCCAGAGACAGTTGTAAGCACTGTGTGACTGCCTCGAGGATGCTGCACCATTTTAACACAACGTGGTACGATCATCCCCCTTGCGCGGAGTGAGGTTTCTCGACCCCGCACAACATGATCTACTCGACCACCATTATGGTTACCGCAAAAAAAAAAAAAACAGAGGTAAAAAAACCCGGTAACCTGATTGCCGAGTTCACGAAGTGAATTAATTGGCTTGTTTTACAACGTCGTTGCCAAGCGACAAAAACCCAACCCCGATGGCGAACACCGGGGGGCGGCGGCTTGTTTTACAACGTCGTTGCCAAGCGACGAAAACCCAACCCCGATGGCAAACACCGGGGGGGGCGAGTGGGGGGGGGGTACATTTTTGCCCGCGAGTTCTATGATGGTTGGATTCCAACCTATGGTCCATGAAAGGGTACATATATATTATACGTATATATACGTCATAGACCATAGGTTCCAACTCTACGGGAGCGCTACTATATGATCCCTTTCGCTGAATCATGGATCGATTTCGGATCAGGAAATCAGTTGTACATGTAAATTTAGATGGGGTTGTTGTGTTTCTTGGAGACGGTGAATGCTCTCGATGGTGCTGCTGCCCAGGACTGGGCTGTGACGCCCTCTCCCCCCACCATTTTCGCGCTACAAACCACATCAAACAAACCAAGCAGACGTGCTTGCTTGCCGTCAAGAGTTTGTGGCCTTTGCTGTGTACGTCATAGCGCATGGTGTCTAACTTGGGTGTTCTTAGCCGTGTGCGTTCTGAATCCTCTATCAAAACTAGTGGTTCTCGTTTTGGGGGAGAAAGTTTAGTGCCCATGTCTGTCTCTCTGTAGGAACGTTGACACACACACACACATACATACATGGAGGAACGGCGGTCTAATAAAATACCCGGCCCGTTTTACCAATCTACTGCTGCATCGAGAAAACCACAACAAAAGCAAACTGGCAAACAAACAACAAAAAAGTAACCCGAACGCTACTGTAACACGACTGACTGCCTGTGCTACGCGAGACAACAAGGAAAATACGACCTAGGCTCTCTCAGCGCTCAGGATCGTACGCCGTGATGAGAACCCATTTTTTTTTTTTACCGAAAGAACAAAGCCGGTGGCTCGCCTGGGCTTGCCAGTAAAACTTTCACCCCCACCTGCTCGTTATGTTCTTTGTGGCGTCGCCTCCTTTAGTCAACCCACGCACAGCAGCAGCGCACCTACCTGCTGCAGCTCGCCGCTCATCAGCGGCGGTCGTTTTCAAACAACACCACAGGAAGAAGCACACACATACACCAAGCCGAAGTGCACACGGTAGCGCACGTCCTTTCGCGAGTTTTTCATTGGCTGGTGAGTGTCACCTGATCACCTGCTGTTCTTACACGAGGAGAGAAGAACGGATCTGCTGCTGCGGCTGCTGCCATCGTCGTCTCAACTCGAAATATTTCTAGCCGCCTCTGCCGAGGGCAGGCTACAATCAACACCGCGTTGCAGGCGGAGGGGTCGGGCACACAGCAGGAACGAGATCTAGCATCGACAACAAGGCGACCGGCGACATCGCACGACGCCAGCTCGTCGCTCACAGACAAAACTTGGTGAATGATTGGTTGTTTTTTCGCGGGCTAGATTTATTTTTGCAGCACAACCGCCGCGTGTGCACACGTGAAGTCTCTTTTCGTTTTTTTGGCTCAATCCAACTGGCCATCATTTGTCCTGCCCCCCCCGCGCCGCACGCAGTCCGTGCGATAGATGCTGTTTGGATGGATAGATGATCACGGATTATTGCTATCACGCAACGCACACACACGAAGAAGCTACCTTCCTCCTGCCGGAGGCATACGACTTCGATAGTCGCACAGGCTCGCAGGCTCGCTTATCTCGTCTCTCTCTCTGTCCCCAAAGTCACACCAAAACTCAAGTGACGCAACATACAGCGCTTGGCTCTGTTCCCTGCTGGTGGTCTCGAGCACACCTCCCACCTCACATCATACACTACGTCAACCTACCGGCACGCTACCGGGCGGCAACCTTCAGTTATCCCACAGCAACAACAACACACAGGCGATGTCAGCCAACGCATCCTCCTCTGAGCTTGGGACCCGCGCGCCCCGCCCTTTATTCTGTATCGCGTCTCTGTACGGATGGGGTTCAAACCGGGGATCCGCCCGGCTCGCTCTTCAGGCAGGCCGGGGAGGGGGCAGAGAGAGAGAGAGAGAGAGAGCATGTCGTCGCCGGTCATTATGGCTCAACGCCTGCAGCAGCAGCACCTTCAGCAGCAGCGGCAGCGACAGCGACAGCAACAGCAGCAGCAGCAGCAGCAGCAACAACAGGCTGGTACGAAGAGACCGAGGAGCGAGCAGCAGGCGCAGACGGCGGCCAACGGCGGGAAGGCCAAGGCTCCCACCGAATCCGCGGCTCGAGGAGGGAAGGGGGCGGGGGGTGGGCATGATTTCGCGGGCAAGGTGAGAGAGCGAGACAGAGTGGTATGGTAGTCTTCGCCCAGCGACAGCTATGGACAGATAGATATCTTTGCACTGGTATTTACAACATCTATGTACCGCACTCGAGACACGCACATGGTCCACGTACAGCAGTCAGTAGTTTGCCGGTACAATATGCTGCATGTGTGTGATGATGCAGCGTGCGCAGTGCAATTTTTGGAGGGTCGGTTGTGTGGCCCCCGGTCGTGATTGGTTGCGTTGTTCGCTAGGGAGCACCCTCTGAACCACGAAGCTCGCCGTGTCAAGTGTATGGCGAAGGTATTGGAGAACGTGGAAGTATTTTCGAGCTGTGAAACGTGGCTATCGGTCGCTCCAGCAGCACCAACCGCCGTAGGTGTAGACGGTTAAATAGTGCTTCTCGTTTCAGCTCCACCACCCCCGTGTGTCTTGCGACAAGGTCTACGACTTACGTTGAAGGTACGAGGGCATGTTTCCTCCTTTCATGGCGAGCTTGGTGCACACATCCCAAGAACCACGTAGTTCGTGGGTCCGATAGTGTAGTGCGTGGTTTTGTTTGTTGCACGTGCACCAAAAACTCGAAGTAAATCAGAGTCGTAAAGATAACTCTGCGAACTGGCTTCTTTGTCCTTGCTGACCGCAAACTGGCTTGATTTCTCCCTTCAACCACCAGCCATACTGCTGCAGGGACTGCTGTCTACGCGGAGGAACGATGAAAAAGAGGAATGGTGACTAACCGACCCCCGAAATTCCACCGATTTCATCGCGAGATTGATAAGTTTTATGCATATGACGAAACAGGGAGGGGGGACGCAGAACCTATCCCCTGACCTTACCCCTTACCCAACTTGCCCTATTGTGTTCTTTATCCAACATGTTTACTTAATCGATAAACCGTGTAATGGCTACTGCTGTTCCCCTATATATTTGCTTTTAACGTAGGCTGTGTACTGCATCACAGAGGGAAATTTGGAAGATTTCTTGCGTTCATTTTCGATGCTGTGGAGTGTATGTATCGAAACCACACTGCTCTCTTCTTCTTCCAAGCTTCGCACCAATCGAGACGCCGTGAGCATTGCATATTTCAAGTACTGTACATGTACTATAGCGCACGTCAACGTCGATTTTAGTCGTTCGTTTCTACTGCTTGCTGCAGTCGGTATCTTGAATGCCTTGTGTGGAAAACCCCGAATACCGTGAGAGGCGGAGAGATGGCACCCCCCCCCCCCTCGACCGACTTTCAAAGCTCGATTGCTCCACAACTACTGCTGTAAGCTTGTGCCAACACCAAAAATAGTGGTGTTGGAAACATGTCGTCGAGGGCTTTCCGTAGACGTGTCTGGCTCTTTCCGCACCCCCTTGGCTGTGGAGCAATCGAGGTTTGAAAGCCGGTCTAGCGAGGGTGCCATCTCTCCGCCTCCTTACAACCCCAAAAGGCGTTCTTTCGGGACCGGAGGGAAAGAGTTTCATGAGGAATATACAGCAGTCTTAGGTACCTCGGGTAGGGACACACATGATTTTTCGTTTGAACAGGTGTCCTCAAGCCGGGGAAAGTGTCCTTTAAGGTTGACACCCCTTCTTGTGTTGAACATTGTGCGAGTCTCCACGCCTGTTAAAAACAGTTGTCTTTAACCGGGAGAATGTGTTGTGTGTGTGTTTTTCGTCCTACTCCATAGGTATGTATTTTGGCGACAGTCCCCCCCCATTTTTCGTGGTGAGACGTGTACTACATTTTTCAGTGTATTTTTGGTACAACTACAACCATCCAGGGTCGCAGTATCCTTAAAAATGGCGTTCTTATCCGAGGGAAGACGGTGTCTTGAATTTTTCGCGAGGAGACGGCGGTGCACGCAGACAGTCGCCAGACAAGCTCTCTCAGCAAAACGAGTAGTGGGCGGTTGTCGATCGATCCATCCCTCTCTTTCGCCCTCGGTTGGTTGTGTTTGGCCGTTCCGGCCTGCCCTCCCGTTCCCAGCCTTCGTGCCCCTCTGCTTCTCTCTTATCTCTCGTTGTGTATCTGCTTGTCTCTCTTGCTCTTCACACCACTCTCTCTTTCTCTTTAACACCTCTCTCTCTATCTTGCTCTTAACACCTGTCTCTCTCTTTTTCTCTTCCACCGGGCACACCGCGGTATCCACCGCCGCCATTTCTGCCCTGAAAATCGACGAAAACGCTATATATAGCCCCCATCGAAGGATAGCAGTGCAGTAGATAGCAACAAGCCAGAGCAACAACAGGCAGGCTGACTTGACACATAGCCAGGACCAAAACGTGGGCAGCACACACACACGCTTCGCCCTGCCGCTTCTTCTGAACGTTGTACAAGCGTTTCCCTTCAAAAAGCCAGCAACAGCACCTCAACCAACCATCCCTGCTGCTCCGGCCAACTCCTCCCTTTCTCAAAACTCCAGGAAGGAGCGGGAGGCGGTAGCAGTGCCAGCAGCGACTTCTTCAGGGCTAGGTACAAGCGCCAGAACGTGGGCAAGGGGGGGGGAGCGCTAGCGCCGGGATGGGCCGTTGCCCTCGAAGGGCCTCAAGGAGGCAGCGGGGGCGGAGCGGGGGCGAGGGAGGTGCTGACGCCCGCGGAGAACAGCCTGCTGAAGACGCTCGGGGATGCCGTGGCGGGGGGCGGGGGAGCGGGCGCCAGGGGGGGGGTAGCCGGCGCGGCGGGGTTAGACCGCCTGATGCGGGTCATGATTAACGCGCCCGATGTGAGTTTGCCGCTAGGGAGAGAGAGAAGGGTGGAGTTTTTCGTGATTTTTTTTTGTTTGTGTGTGTGTGTGTGCTCGTGTTCTCCTTGTCGCTCTGGTCTCTTCCTCCGCCTCTGTCTCTCTCTCTCCGCCCCCGCCCCCCGTCCGTCCGTCCATTCACCTGTTTCTTGGCCAGGTTTTGTCACAGCGGTTACGCCGTGCGAAGGAAGTCTGGCGGGTATCACGCGCACCCCCCTCCCACACCCCGCATCGGACAGTATGTTGTGGTGCTTTGCGCTTTGTGGCGTCTGTGGATTGTGTTGACCCTCTCCGGTGTCGAGTGTTGCCTTGTGGAACACAAAACGATGTCTTTCTCACGGAAACTTGAGGTTTTTACGGTGGTACCATGGTATGGCATTGTTTGGAATCCACCCTCTGGCTTGAAAGTGTAACGGTGCGGTAGTAACTGCTGTTGGCCGTTGTTATGGTTGGTGTGGACACGTGTAGCATCTCCGGGGCAAGCGTTGGTGGCCTCTGTTTTTCGGCTCTCTGGTTGCGTGGTTGTCGTCTGTTCGATGCGATTTCTCCGTGCCCGCGTGCGCAAGCCGGGTACATGGGTGGTGCGTATGATTGATGTTGGATTTGATGGACTCCCTGCCGGTCGCAAATCGGTGTTAAGAGACGATGATGCTACAGGCAGGATCGTTTTCTGTGTGGGACATATGCCTTTGCCAAGGGGCGGGGGGCGTGTTTATCCTAGATACGGGTGACGGGCAGCGTTTGTTCAAACTTTCGTGCGAAGAGGAGCGTGGAGCTAAGCTTGTACAGGCGAAAAGGGTGTGCACAGTAAATGTGCTCCGCAGTCGGGCCCCTTGATTGCGCCAAAAGGGCAGCCTTCGGCGTGGACGGCAAGGGCAGCCTTCGGCGTGGACGGGGAGCACTTGGGGGAGGGGGGTGCTTGCTTGGGATGCATTGAAGGAAATAACTTGTGGACGTGTCGATGCGAAAACGCACGTCCGCCCCGCGGGTGAACACGTCCGCTAGTTGGAAATGGTGATGATTCTCCCTCCGGCCGGGAAAAGAATGACGACACAATGCTTTTCTTGTCCTGTGTTGTTTCGGATTTTGAAAGAGAGGCTGGCGTCCTTGCTGTTGTTTTTTTGCTGTTCCGGCCCTGGGTCAGGTTTATGGAAGTGAGCTTGATATTTGCCTCAGTCCAGACACACCCTCGATATTGGAAGGGTGATTCGACGGACCCCCTCGTCGCTCCGCCGTCCGCGGGTCCCACGAGCGAGGAGACGAGAATGTCCCATCATGTGCTCTTTTTGTCACCGTCAATTGAACTTTGCGTAAGATGTTTTGTTGTGCAAACCTTGCTTATGCTTCCACCAGTGTATCGAGGCTTGGAGGGCGCTGATTGGCTGGCTTCTCGCCTAAGGTTTTGCAGGAGGGGGCGTTCTGGTGTTGGTTGTTTCCGGCGTGCCGCTACATTACCGAGAGAACGACCCCCCCAACATATTCATTTCACGACCCTCAAAGTCGTCCCGCCGATGCTGCTGCTGCTGCTACAGCTGGGGGGCGGCGGCGGCCCGACGGTTGGGAGTTGCTGAGTAGCCTCGAGAAGACGGTCGAGCAGAATCTCACCGCAGCAGCAACAACCGTGGCACCCGCGCCAACAAAAACGAGTTGTGAGACTTGTGAGACTACCGCCCCCCACACCCCGTGATTTTTTTTGTTACCACGTCCGCGGTCCGGGCAACAATGGTCGTTTGTGGCGTGATTCTCGGTCGAGCGTTTTTTTCCAAGCCTCGCACAGCAAGAGTCGAGTCACGTTGAACACCACCCATGACGACGGTCATCGGGCACGAAAGGGGCACCGTAGATTGATTCCCCACAAGTTTGAGAAGCACTCGGAAGGAACGTGCCCGAGGGGGCGCGAGGGGGGACTGGGGCGAAACGGTGTGCTGGAGTGCCTTGTTGTTGTTGTTGTAGTAGTCAATACGAACCCTCCCCGTGTAGAAGAGGTGTGATACTTTTTCCCTGATGCATGAAGGATGCGATGTCGTGCATGACGCCCCGGTTCCCCTCTCGATGGTGGAAGAACGGGTGGATCCCCATCGGCGTTGTGTTGTTGGGTTTTCCACAGTAAGGTGGCGTCATTGAAAACGCCCATTGTTGAGTGTGTACGGGGGGCAAGGGGGGGGGGTGTTCCAGACGAGGGGGGCGGTTGTGTGTCCGTTCATGGGGGGGGGGGGGGGGGGTCCCTT